CGGTCTTTTACATTATCATAACAGTCTAAGAGAGGTAACTAGACCTAAAACAAAATGAAATGTCGATGCCCATGAAATTAATTTAAGCACGCTGTTTCAGAAAATCCACTAGATTCCATTGCCAGTTCAATATCCAACACTTTATTTTTTTTTATTGTAAAATTTCTCTCTTTAATGTGCCATATCTATGTTGTTGTTTTTTAAATTAATCCTAATTCGTCGTCACTATTCATGTTTGTTTATAATGATGCAAGATTCATTGCGGGAAGGGGTGCAATTCTTACTTGGCTTGACCAAAGATACTGGATAATCAACTACATAAAAAAAACCCTCCCGGTTACGCATGGGCAATGGTACTTTTCGTCAAATATTGACAACGGTCCCAGACCCTCCGTACGTTGAAGACTAGGCGGGTCTAGGTGACCGAGACTACAATATATTATCGGCGTTTTGCTTGAAATGAGGGATAAGCCAATGAAATAGTCTGTTACGGCGACTTTTTGGCATGCCATGCACGGAACTGTGGGTAAACCACTAGAAACACAACGGTGGTTGATTAATCAATGTCTGACGTCATAGGGTCAAAAACCGCTCGTACGACCCCTGACACGAAATGAAATGACATGAAATGAAATGGGGTTTAACGTCCTACTGTTTTGCTCCTAAACTGGGCTAATGGAGACGGGAATACGCCAAGGGATCTTTTACGTGCACGCCAATGTGTACACGGGACCTCGGTTTTTCGTCCCATCCGAACGACTAGACAGCTGTCCTTGTCAGGCCCTCCGTCCTGCATCACTGACAAGGGGAAACCACGCCGGAAAATCTGGATGAACTTTCCCGGCAAATGCAGGGATCGAACACCCGACCTCCAGGCTAGCGAGCCAGCGTCTTACCCACTTAGCCCCTGACACGACGTTCGAGTACAACTTGTGAGATCTGTATGTAATGTCGACCATCGAAGTATAAAAAAACGAAACTAAATACAGATCTGTATTTTAATGCCGGCCTTCGAAAGTATAAAAAAAAAAACGAAATGAAATATAGATCTGTATTTTAATCAGATTGTACTTTTCATGGACAATATTTACACTTTTAATATTTAACATAATCCAATTCAGACAGTCGGTCGATCGGTTATAATAATCGCCATTTATCGATGTAAAAGTTATTGTAACCCATTTAAAAAGACCCTACGGGGTATATTGGAATAGTGGGTAGATGACGTGATATGATAAAATATCAGGATGATACGAAAGTACAATGATCTGATGAGTTAAAAAAAAAGTGGTATAATAGAATCCGGGTCTCGCCTAACCGCTTCTATACAACTAATGCGTATGCTAATTGCTAATAAGCTTACTTCTACGCGTGTAACTTCTTACTTACGCCATGTTAAATTGGCTATTTACACATGTAAAAATGCTAATGTATATGACATTTCTTAAATTTTGCAGTTAGAATATGTATTTTGTTCTATTTCCATTATTGTTTTTATTTATTGTAAACATTTTGACATTTCACAAAGTTACGCGGTGAAGTCGTCATAATTCTAACCAATGGAGTCTATTCTAACACTCATTTTGGTTGCAGATGGCCGTGTTAATAATTATAAGGTGGCAGGTTTGGGACAAAGTTAAAACTCGCCTTTTTCATAACCCGACGGACATGACGACATTTCTCTGTCAAAAGCAAAAGCAAATTATTCTGGATACTTTTAGATAAATAAAATGGCTACGTGTAGCACCATAGGTCTTTTGTCTGACGTGGAGAGCGTCTATGGGAAACCGGTCGCCACATCCTACGTATGACCCATGCATCTTTTCTTACTACATATTTCTGTAGCCTTGTGATCGTCTAGAATTTGTCTCTAGCTGTCTTTACTTCTGCTTCACGTTGTGTATTTACTTCTTCCAGTTTCTTAAGACGTTTGTCTTACCAGGAATAATAATGCATAGTTCGCTTCTACATTTTATATAGCATATAACTGAATACAGGTATACAAGCATAGCACAAATTACAATACTATATAGCTAAAACCACTTCTCCACCCTATCCAGCCTCTCGGCTGTCTAGGAACTCAGATGTACCCTCGATCTCTGGAATCTAATGCAAGTCTGACTTACAGGGTTCCCCGGTTTCTTTTAAAGGTAAGTGAATATCATGCACAATAACGCGTGATCATGGCCCTGAACTTGTGTAATTAACAAAATGATTGGTTACTTTAAATCAAATGATGCAATTAGAATAATTCCACTCACGTGTAATTCGGTGGTAAATGAGTAACATATGTTTTCGATAAATCGCTCTTTTTTATGTGTCAACTATCAATTACAGACTAAGTTGATTTAAGTATTTTAAGTACATATCACATATTATGCGAATATGTTATTTCTCGAGCAAAAATTCTACTAAAAGTATTACATTTGCCCCAATACTGTCATATCGATTCATTTAGCCCCTTTTCCCCTAAAAGAATAATAAAATATATAGTAAGAACTCATTACGTCATGCATGAAATAAATATGTATAAATAGGTAATGATTAATTTAGCGTATCTTTTCCTCTCAAAATTATGAAATATTTTACGCACACAAGTAAAGTATTTTTGATGTAATTCAGGTAATCTAGCTTTATATCGTATCAAGCTGTAGTACTATTGAGGGCGAGATTTGTACACATGTAAAAATAACATTATGGCCTTGATTAATTATTCTCTATTATTAAAATATTAGCTATGGTATGAGTTTATTTGAAACGCCAATTAAATTGTTTATGAAATATTGTCTCGTCTTCATTAGCCCAGTTCGGCGCAGAACAGTAGGACGTTAAACCCCATTTCATTTCATTTTATTTATGAAATATTGTGAGAATAACAGGAAAGGGGGTCTAAGGCCAGGGATAAATTCTATGTCTAAAAAACACGTGATAGGAAAGTTACCATTCCACATTTGACATAAGTGACCAATCACATGATTAATTACATTATAATTAGCCAATAGAATAATTAATGGCTGTGAATCTGAGAGTATATAATTAATAGAATGTGCGCTCTATAGTAGTCATCGTATGTAGTGGCAAAGTCTGTAATACATATACCAATGTTTGTTCGATTAAGATGACTCTCAAAATATGCGTTAACGGTCGAAAGATCTTGGATGTGCATCTGACATCAGACCGAATCATCTTAGGCTATGTCCCCTGCCTTTTACGCAAACAGATAAATATGTACGAAGTTTGTGGAAACAATTTAGATCTAGGATTGGGTTGATATTGATATCGGACCTTTCGTTCTGGAGTTATCCCCCTTTTCCCAAAACATTGTGAACGATACACAGGCTATAGTTTTTAATTGATTTTTTTCGAATTTGGTTAGTAATTTGAATGAAATTTTCATTATATTCATTTTTCATTGTCTATTGTTGAACTATTATAGCAAGGATAGTCAGCGCTTTATCTAAATCGTACATAATGTATCTTTAAGTATGGGAAGTTACGGGAGCTAAAAGTAGAATACTGAATGGCAGAATAGAAGCTCAAATACTTCAAACCGGTGCATTTCCGATTCACGTGGTGATAAAAATAAACAGGAAAGAAAACCCCAAACCCAACCAGATAATGGATATAAATATTTAAGAAAAGGTGACAGACCTTTGTAACTTCATGCATTCTATGTGTGACACGGCGTCGATCACTTCCGTCGATAGCGCGTACTTTTTTTTACTCATTTTACACCTTCCCGTACTATTTTATGTAGCCATGTACACTAAATAGGAGATTTTTTTTTGTCCAGATATACTTCAAACACCTTTATTTATTTTCCTAATACTTCAAAAAATGTTTCAGAATTTAATTTTCAGCATGAAAAAAAAGTTAATATTGTGAGCTAATTAAATCGCACCGATATCATCCCTTTCATCCCTGGCGAATATATACTGCTGTTCAGTTTGGTCAAAAGTTAGAAGAGGAGTTACACCATGGATCGTATATATATAATACAGTTCTATGGTTACACAAGTGTTACCAATCTGTTTTACATAGTATTACGAAAGTCTTCTAATATCTCTGTAAAAGATGACTGCCTTCAACACATGACGTCATATCACGCGGCGTCAATCATTGGCTCAATTGCGCGTGCATTGTTTACATAAGACGTTACTGATTCGAGTAACATTTTAGGCCAACTCATTTTAATACCCATTAACACTAAAATAGGAAATGATTTTTACCTACAAATACATCAAACGTCTTTATTTATTTTTCTAATTCATAAAAAAAAATGTTTTAGAATTTAATTTGTCGGAGGAAAAATCCTTTCCCTCTTATTCCTTAAACATACATTATACAAGAGCTAAATCTGCCTGTTGCAGATCTTTCTTTAGGCCTGAATTGTTATCTAAACTATTAATTAGACATTAACTAACCTATCCAGGCCATAATCAACTCTAGACGACATCGCTAGCCTGTGATCGTTGGTGGATTATGAGCCGATTTACTTCATAACTTTCCTTCACGATTTAACGATTAAATGGATAATCGAGACTAGTAATGATGATCAAGGCTAGCCGAGAATTTCAACCGCTTAGTTCTCGGTTAATAGTGGATTAATTTGAATAAAATTTTCAGCGAATTGCCTTTACATTATCTAGTTTTTAACTATTATAGTGAGAAGTGCCAGCTCGTTATCGAATCTCCCATAATGTATCTTTAATATTTATGGCTCATTAAGTTGTATCGATGTCATCCTTATTGGTGATTGTCGCGGCTTAGCGACTATTCACTGCTGATCAGTGTGTTGTGTTACATTACTTCAAAAATAGTTAAAACTCTAACACTGCTTTTAACCTCGCCGACTTAGCTTAATTATGGGATTTTAGGATGAACTGAAGCGAAGCAAAGAACAACCACGAACGCACCAGTACTACATGTTGAACTTTTTAAACGCGGCCAACGGGTCACATGATTTGATGGTCCAATCAACACGTCGTCTAAGTCATCGCGTTGAACATGGCCGAGTGAGCTTGATAACAACCCAGAACGTTTGTTTTGGTTTTAGAAATTTTAGTTTCAGTGAATGAAATAACGGAAAACAAAAATGGCAAACGGTACGTAAGTTACGCAAAAGTGTGACTGAATCACAGACATAATATAGACTAGCTCGATATCAGTAGTGCAGTTACATAACTTGTCGATAATTTTGTAGGGATTAGACCACAAGGAAAAATAAATTGAAATGAAATAAATTGGGGTTCTGCTCCGAGCTGGGCTAATGAAGAAGAACAAACGCCATACAATGTTCTATGAGGGAAATTTTACCTGGACAGCGACACTACTGCCTACTCCTATATCGAATTCCAACTGCCAACAAGGGATCTTTTACATGTATGCACGCCAATATGTCAATGTGTACACGGGACCTCATTTTTTCTGTACCATCCAAACGACTTGACAGCTGTCCTTGTCAGGCCCTCCGTCCTGCATCACTGACAAAAAATAAAATGAAATAAAATGGGGTTTAACGAATAATGTTCAACTTTTTTGCCTAGATTTGGCTAATGAAGACGGGCATCCAAATTGAGCTATGAGAAAAATTTTACGCAGACAGTAGACAGCGCATGACGGCCTTCTCATATATCGAATTATAATTGTCAATCAACAGTTCTTTTCCATGCGCGCCAATGTGTAGACCTATACACTGGATCTCGGTTTTTCGTGCCATCCTAAATACTAGACAGTTGTCCTTGTGAGGCCCGCCATCCTGCGCCACTGAACAGAGACCTTAGGCGTACCGGTACATATTAAAGTGGTCTAAGGATTAGACCTATTAGTTTACAATCTGATTGAAACACAGATCCTATTTCATTTTGTTTTTTTATAGTTTAAAATTTCGTTTCACTTGTCTTTACTACACTAGGATCTGGAAGAGTTGTAATGTAACCTGCATTCTGGATGATGTGAGGGTTTAGCTAATGAAACGATCTGTTATGGCGAGCTTTTGGCGTGTGCTGCACAGCTCTGTGGGTAGCCTAATCCACTAGAAACATCAAAGCTGATTGGTTTATCAAATGTCTGACGTCTTAGGGCCAAAAGCCGCTCGTACGACCACTGATGCAACCTTCCAGTACAACCGGTCAGATCTTCATGTAGTGTAGGCCATTGAAAGTATAAAAATAAAACGAAATATAGATCTGTATTCTTAATCAGATTGGAGGGAAAATGGTGGGGTGGTGGGGGGGGGGGTCTAGTAAGGGGGAATTCCCCAAAAATGTCACAATTGAATTTTCAAAAAACAGTTAAAAATTACAAAGCCTGGCTTACTATGCATTGTCACTAGTGTGCCTCATGGCTGACTGTGCCCCTACTTTTAGTTTATTATTACGTCTTTCAGAAAGTGAATTACACAATCAAGTATTTATTCAAGTACATGAATCAAATTCAGGAAGTGAATGGGATTATAATCAAGTATTGAATCAACTACAAGAATATAATGAACTACAAAAAGAGTATAATGTACTACAGAAAGAGTATACGGAACTACAGGAACATTTAAATGCAGTGGAGATGAAATACCAGACAGAAATGGCTGACAATAATCACATCTCAGTTCCACAAAACACAGATTTTATGAAGAAATTATTTGATGATGTGGTTAATCTGTTTGGTAAACAAGAATTAAGGTTAGTTAGAAATCTGATTAAATTATAGAAATGAAATAAAATGGGATTTAACATACTACTGTTCTGCTCCAACTGGGCTAATGAAGATGGGCATATGCTATAGAGGGAAATTTTGCCCGGGCAGCGGCACTATAGCCTACTCTTATATTGAATTACATCTACCAAGGGATCTTTTACGTGCACGCCAATGTGTACATGGTACCTCTTTTTTTTTGCGGGCCATCCGAATGACTAGGGATCTTTTACTCCTAGCTAATGTTTAGACAGGACCTGTTATTTTTGTCTCATCTGAATGACTAGATAGCTGCCCTCCGTCCTGCACCACTGACAAGGGTAAACCACGTCGGAAAATCCAGATGAACTTTCTTGGCCAACGAAGGGATCAAACACGCGACCTCCATGCTAGCGAGCCAGCATCTCACCCACTTGGCCACAGTGGCTCCCAAAATAAACTTGAATCAATCACGTGCGGGGTTGGATGGCCGAATGGTTTGCACGTACGCGCTGTATCATATGGCCTGTCATTGAGTTAACTGGCGTGGTTTCGAATCCCCGGTTGTACGTGACAAGGGGTAGGGTTGCCTGTCCAACCTCGTGGATTTTCTCTGGGTCCTCCAGTTTCCTCCCACTGCTAAAGAGTCCTACACACAAGCGAATTATTGAAATAAAATTAAACCATATGTTAGTCCCGAAATGATCTAGTCTGTGTCGAGTGGACGTTAAACCCCATTTCTCTCTTTCTCTGATGAATCAATCCCGTACATGTATTGAGTGGACATTAAACCCTATCTATCTCTCATCTCTGTATTTTTTTTTATTTTCAGTGATGTAACTGTTTTACTGGAAGGTGGACGTCAACTGCCGGCTCATAGATTAGTTCTGGCTGCACGGAGTGATGACTGGGCCTGGGGTGATATTAACCTAAAATTAGATGTTGAAATTAATTTTTCAGGTAAATATAATCAGACTTACCAGGACTGTCATTAAAGGACAATATTGATGGTGTCAGTCTTTATCACATGTAATAGAACTGGTTAAACACATTCGAAACACAGAAATCATTGCTACGATAGAAAAGTTATGAAGATTTCAAGAAACGGAAGTGACGGAAGCAAAAGTAAAACACGAGTTATCCTTCTATATATTTGACTGAAGTGACCAGTGATAACAGACACAAGTCGAATCTCTGCTCACTGATAATTCCTGCGAAGACCAATAGTTGTTATATGAGACTTGGAGGTTATCTGACAATTCAATAACAATAATTGACTGTCACTAGAGAAGATAAAGCAAAAAAATAGAAAAAGTCTGTGCATTACCACGTTTTTATTATGTATAGAATGAAAAAAAACATTTTCTCTTATCTAGTGACATTGTATTATTTTTGTGTTGTTTATTTTATTTGTAGATATAAAGTACGATGTAGCTATGACGTTATTTAAATGGGTTTATACAGATGTTGTGGATTTGGACAACATGGCCGACTTGTTTCTAACCGATCTACTAAAGGCTGCTAAAAGATTCAACATTATGTCCTTGTATGAAAGGTAATGAATGTTCAATTTTGAAATAAGGGGTGGGGGGGGGGACTGAATGTGTGAGTTAGTTGTATTTTACGTCCGCTTCCACCAAGGTGATATTGAGGGCTGAATGGTTTCGATTCCCCTTTTATACAGGACAAAAAATAGGGTCGCCTGTGCGAGCTCGTGGTTTTTCTAATGGAAGCCAAAGTCTCTCGATGAGTCAAGCGTTAGCTTACCAACAAAGTAATCTAGAGTGTGATCCTGGTGTTTCTAAAGTGGTTTTCCTAGCCAGTGTTCCTGGATGGAGGAGCTGGCAAGGAACATTGTTTAGCCATTTCGATGAGACAAAAAATCGAGGCCCTGTGTACATGATGGTGTGCATGTAAAAGATCCGTTGGCAGTTGGATATGGATATAAGAGTAGGCCATAGGATGTATGCCCGTCTTCATTAGCCCAGCCGGAGCAGAACAGTAGGATGTTTAACCCCATTTCATTTCATTTAACTGTAAAAGATTTTGGAAATCAAAATAAGAGTAAACCATGGCGCATCCACAATTGAGTAAAAAGCTAGCCGCGCTCCCGGTGTTGGTCGAGAAAGTTCAGCAGGCTTTTCCTCTGGTGCAGGACGTGGGATCTGACAAGTACATTCGGATGGGACAAAAAACAACGCCCTGTGTGCACATAAGTGGGCACTTAAAAAAATCCTAGACAGTTGGAATTCGATATAAGAGTAGGTCGTAGTGTCGCTCTCAAGGCAAAATTTCCATCAAAGCACACTTTATGATTCACGTCTTCATTAGCCAAGTTGGAGCAGAACCGTAGGACGTTAAACCCGATTTCATTCCTATTTTTTATTTTGATTTAAACATATAGATGCCAAGATGCTTTATTAGAACTGGTTAATAAAGGTGACAGTAGAACTATTTACCAGTCTGAAGAGAAAACATTAGATAAACCTGCAGAAGAGGAAAGTTCCCCAGTCTTAACTGAAAAAGATACACCATCAGTAAGTAAAACTTTGTGAAATAAATTTTCATAAATCAATCTGATTAAAATACAGATCAGTATTTCGTTTTGTTTTTTTATACTTTCGATGGCCTACACTACATCAAGATCTGACAGGTTGTAGTGGAAGGTCCCGTCAGGGGGCATAGAGCCATAACAGACTGTTTCATTGGCTAATCCCTCACATCAATAACGCCCCGTGTACACATTAGAGCCCTAGACAGTTGAAATTTGATATAAGAGTAGGCCGTACCGTCACTCTGCGTCACTCTACTGGCAAAATTTCCCATCATAGCACACTGTATGACGTATGCCCGTCTTCATTAGCCTAGTCAAAGGAGAACAGTAGGACGTTAAACTCCATTTCATTTCATGTACATATTTTAGAATAAGTCGTATATTTATGTATTTCAGACGAGTGTAGTCAAGTATAAATTAGCCGAGGTCATCAAATGTAACGATGTCCCTGTTTTAGTTGAAGATGGTGGCAGTGATGAGTTAACCTTCAGTCTGGCCCCTCGTACAGAAAATCGTGAAACGGAATCGAATCAATCTGCTTATAAGTGTGACGTTTGCGACACCAAATTTCATGTACTTGACGAATTAAAGGAACATGGCAAGACCCATCCGCTAAATTCCAATAAATCCTTCATCTGTGGTATATGTGGCAAATCTTTTAAGGCCGAGAGACAAATAAAGAGGCATATCAAGATTCATTCGGGAGAACGCCCGTACGTTTGTACGATATGCGGGAAACAATACAAAACATCGGATGATCTCAATACCCACGTGTTAACCCACACGGGTAAACTTTTTACGTGCTCCATATGCGGAAAGAGTTACAAATATCAAGCCGGTCTTCGTAAACATGCTCATAGTCATGGTAAACCAGTCCCTCATAAAGACAAAAAATTGTTTATTTGCACGGAATGTCCGAAGAAGTTCAGAAACCATCGGGACTTTGAGAAACATGTGAACATACACACGGGGAGACGTCCATACCTCTGTGACATTTGTGGGAAGACTTTTACCACCAACGAGCTTCGTCAATCGCACTTGCGATGCCATTCGGGATTAAAACCCTACAAATGTTCATACTGCGATAAAACATTTTGTCGTAAACCTCAGTTAACGGTTCACACGCGAACTCATACTGGCGAAAAACCCTTTCAATGCGAGGTTTGTGGGAAGACTTTCGCGTCTGGGAGTCATCGTAAAGTACATCTACGAAGCCACACAGGCGAAAGACCTTTCAAGTGTGATAAATGTGATCGAACATACATGATGCGCGTTCACCTTAACACCCACATAGCGCAACATCACGCACAGGAAAAACCATTCAGATGTGATATTTGCGGAATGGCATTTCCAATCAAAAGGTTTTTGTCACGACATCTTAATGGGCACAGCAAACCACATCCTTGTGACGTTTGTGGACATCGATTCGGCCGTAAGACACATCTGGTTCGACATTATAGAATTCATACGGGAGAAAGACCATATTCGTGTGATGTTTGTGAGCAGAAGTTCCGAGATAAAAGCACTCTTAAATATCATGAGAATCGTTTACACGGTGTACAGAATAGACTGTTCTTCTGTAATATTTGTGGAAGTACGTTCACAGATGAACGCATTTTAAATATCCATAAAAGCACAGAGCACGAGCATACTATAATCTTACCAATTTAACGCAAATCCTCAATAATTACTTCGCTATTGGGCCATCCATCAGTCAAATACATGTAGATGAACATGCATTTAACATGCATTATGCAAGGGCTAAAATGTTATCTAAATTATTAATTAGACATTAAAGATACATTATGTAAGATTTAGATAAAGAGCTGGTAGTTCTTGCTATAATAGTTTAAAAATAGATAATGTAAAGTGAATAATTTGAAAATTTCATTCCAATTACTCTATTGCGAGCGAAGATATTAGCCTTTGAAGGTTTGACAAGACGTGTGCAATAAGTGCAACCACCATACTTGTTGTTCGAAGCTATGTCTCGCTCCTCCATTTTTAAATTAAAATAAAATATGGCTGAATTGTTCTAATCTATTTAATATCGGAAAAATCCGATGCCATCGAGAGTTGATTATTGTCTGGATCAGTTAATGAATGTCTAATTAATAATTTAGAAAAAATTTCAAGCCTAAAGAAAGACCTGCAATAGGCAGATTTAGCTCTTGCATAATGTATGTTTAATTTACTGTGATATTAAATTTAGTGGATTCAAATACGTTTTATGGTGGATGCAGTTACCGTAAAATGGATAATCAAGACTTTGTTTATTATGGCTCTTTATCTAATCTTACTTAATGTAATGCATTTTTAAGTTATTCTAGGACACTCAAATGGATGAACAAGCTTGGTTCTTTCAAATTGGATTGAGTGGTGAATGGAGAGCAGTTGGGAAAATGTGTCGGGTAGTTTGGATCGGAATGAAATGAAATGAAATGGGGTTAAATGTCTTACTTTTCTGCTCCAACTGGGCTAATAAAGATGGTTATACGCCATACAGTTTGCTATGAGGGATATTTTGTCTGGACAGCGGCACTACAGCCTACTCTTATATTGAATTCCAACTGCCAAGGGATCTTTTATGTGCACGCCAATGTATACACGGAACCTCGGTTTTTCATACCATCCGAAGGATTAGACACCTGTCCTGGTCGGGCCCACCATCCTGCACCACTGACAAGGGGAAACCACGCTGGAAAATCCCGATGAACTTTCTCAGCCAACAGGAATTGATGAAGAATAGTTGGAGAATACCACTGTCTTGAGAATAAGTCCCTCACAGCACACAGCCTGTTGCACACTCCATGGCGTGTCTCTCACGCAGAAAGTAAAACGTTAAAACCCATTTCATTTACTGTACATGTATATTTTTGTCTTTATTACTTTTGTGCAAAATAGCATTTGTTGAAATTTTCTGTTTTTAATTTTATTTAAAAGAATAAATATGTTGATCTTGTTGTTTTCATTTGGTTCTTTCATTTAAAGTTCTTTTAAAGGCTCAATACCACTCTTAATGTAACAGAATAATATGTCCCAATCTTTATTCTGGTCAACAAATTGTACTATTTTACAATATTCCAATTAATTGATGATACAAATTTCATCTTAACACACCTAATTTAAAAAATTGGAAAAATTCAACTAAATGATTTGAAAAACCTAATGTAAACCTTTTCAAATGTGACTTGGATTTAAAAATATTTTCGAACCCTTTGGACAAGTAAAATAGGATTTAATGGATAATTTACACAACAGGTAGGACACTTAAACATCTAATACTTAGAATAAGGCTAATATTTATTTACTGGAGCTGTAAAGCCAGCAAGAGTGTTATTGTCCCTTTAACATCTTCTCCAAAATAATCGTAGATAGATGGATATAAATGGGGTTTAACGTCCCCTCAACACAAACTTGTTCATTTCAATACTAACACATGATTCAATTTTTTTTTAATAATTTGCTAATCGTCTAGTAAAGTTGACAGTAATGTTGCTAATCATGCAATAAAGTTAACAATAATACTGCTAATCATGTAATAAAGTTAACAATAATACTGCTAATCATGTAATAAAGTTAACAATAATACTGCTAATCATGTAATAAAGTTAACAATAATACCGCTAATTTGTCTTCAAATCCATACAGTCACATTAAACATTGCAGAAGTAGAGGTACCTATATCGCATTTAAAACTTTTGATTCAGTACCGGACTTTAAATTGTTTCCAAAAATTAAAATTACTAGCTATACGAATGAGACGATATTTCAGTGTGTTCATTGATTTAAAACTAGTACACGTACGGTGAATGTTGCTATTGTTTGCTTTCATGTGCATCTCGGGCAATTTTTTTTCTGCACACGGGCCGAAATTTTTTGCGTTTGGGAGCATTGCGTGAAACAACAGTTCATAGTATTGCATAATATTATACATACAAAACCACCTAGTAATAAAATATTTGGGAAGAAAAAAGTGATGCGTCGCGTAAATTTTTAATTTCCGTCCTAGTCCGGACTTTTTCCGTATGCAAATGAGCTGCGTCGTAGATTTCATATAAGGTATGTTCTAATATGCTAAGTTCTATTATGCATTTGCCTTTAATGCAAAATGCAGAATGGAGAAGTGCAATGTGCAAAATAACTATTATACCGTATTTTGTATTATTAAAAAGTGTATTCTGTATTTCAACACCGTAACAATGGTATTATGGAGCAATGGAAAATGCAAATTGTAAAACTAAAATACGTATTTTGAACTGCTGACATATGCATTTTGCACCGTAAACAATGAAATAATATTGGCACCGTTAAACCTTCATAAATTTCTTGTTACCAGATATTAGCGATATAGCTCCTTTAATGTATAGTTTCACTGCCAGGTACTTCAAAACATTGGTTCAGTTCGATCGTAAACATTTTCTGCTTAGAATGTTTTTAGGTTCATCTTTATAACACCATTTTAGATAGTTGCAGACAGTTTCAAGAAAATTCAGTTTGGGAATTTATTCAATCTAATCTATTTGGATAATATATTCACAGAAATGTATTTGCAGTATCGACTTAATGTGTGCATTTGACGGGCTAGATCTATTTGTTAAGGCCAACTCAATTTTCGTTAAGGTGACTGAGATGTAAATAAGGTTAGGGAATGTGATTGTTGGCGAGATTGTAGGTTAGGGTTAGGATTGGCGCTAGCCCTGTATACATCTTGTGACCATTGTCCAAAATTGAAGTTGGCCTTAATCAATTACATCTGACCGCATTTGACGGGGCTTCTATTAAGACGCCGTATGGACGTGCCTCTCATATTTCTAAAATGTTTTACTTTTGTTTCTGAGTCCCGATTTGTACGATCAATGTGGTGAGACGATTATCTCTGAATATCAAAATATTGTTTAATTAATCTAATACCTAGTGTTAGAATTATATTGAATTATATTATATTATATTGATTATATATAATCAATATAATATACTATATATTGATCATATTGATTTCGATATATATACTATATTGATTATATTATATTGATTTCGGGCAATTTTCTCTTATGCCCCCCTGAACTACTTTGAGCTCCTACGCCTATGTGTCCAACCTCGTGGATTTTCTCCGGGTACTGGGTACTTCGGCTTCCGCACACTATTAAAGACCCCTACGCGCAAGCGATTTATTGAAATTAAATTGAACCATATGTTAGTCCCGAAATGACCAAGTTTGAGTCGACTGGACATTAAACCCAATTTCTCTCTCTCCCCCCATTTCATTCCAGTATTCAAATGTCATAGGATTGTTAGTCTTCAATGTAGATTTCGTAAAAACAGTTTCCCATCTTGAAATAAAATCCAATTTCTGACGCCTGAATCTACACTAAACTCCAATAATGACTGAGAAATGCGATGGGCAACAAAACATATGCCTATTTGTATTCAATCGGATTAAATTGGTTTTACCCAACTTTTATAGGTGGCTCTGGTTTGTTTATATTGTATTCATGGGGTGAATTTGTGTAAATACTATTTGTGATATTTTGTTCAGAGATTCGTGTTTAACAATTTTTAATTTCTAAGGGATCCGAAAATCCCCTTTAAAAGAGCTAAATCGCTAATATTTGGGAACTAGAAATTGACACCAATGGGTCGCAATGCATATAATAATGTAATATGAATGTAGCCTATATAAACTGATTTACATCAGTCGTTTCTGTTTTTACTGTAATGTCTCAATCGAATGGCAGGCCCCTGAGATAAGACTATGTCGTCACCGTTTGACATGATTTGTGGAATAGCCCCGTTCTTCGAGTCCCTTGTTATAAATGACACTGAAACGATTCGTGTACGAATGGTAAAATGTTTATATGTATTTTGTCTTAAATATTGGATATCAGAAGCCCATGTTTTCCCGGTAAGATCACAGCATTAATGTTGATTTAAAGGAGCTAATTCGCTAATAATTGGGACCTAGAACTTGACACAAATGGGTCACAACGCATATAATAATGTAATATGAATGTATATAAACTGATTTACATTCAATCGTTTCCGTTTTACTCCAATTTCAAATCAGTTATGTTCGGCGAAATACGCTAGAAGTCTAATAGAATGGCTATCTCTGCGTCTGGTTATTCCAGTCTACGCCGATATTATTTATTGCGCATGCTCCAGATAAGAATATGGCTTCACCGTTTGACATGACTTGTTCAATATGTCTAGCCTCGTTCTTCGAGTCCCTTATTACAAATGGCACTGAAACGCATTATGGTACACGATTTGTGTACCAATGGTAAAATATTTATTTTGTCTTAAATAATGGATATAGAAGCCCATCTTTTACGATAACAACACCAATGTTGATTTAAATTGACAAATAATTTGTGTTTTCAATGTCGAAGACTTTGGATGATACTGAGTTAGAGACTCAACTACTTTAAATTGACAAATAATTCGTGTTTTCAATGTCGATGACTTTGGATGATATTGACTTTGCATCATCCGTTGTCAGGCTTCAGTCGTCTTCGATTTTTATTATTGCTGAACTGATTCTTTACATTCAAAGGGTCGAAAATACATGTAGATACAGTTAAGTTAAAGTCATTAATACTGGTTTCATTTGGTTGATTTGAAATTGCTACATGGAAATGCCAGGAAATGAAACGGTAGTTTGAGACGAAAACGGCTGTTATTGAATTGATTTAAACTTCAATGATTTCCGAGATATCTCGAACATATAAAGCCTGTTATTCTAATTCCTTCAGATTTTAATTTAAAGGGACTATCCCGATTTCAAGAGTCTCAAAAATAAAAGTCGGAGTACGTATAAAATTTAAGCGCCAAAATATAGAGGAGTGGTGTATTTACCTTCTCTCAAAATTCCAGCTCAAAATATTGAGTCGTTTGGGTGTGAACGTCAAAACTGCTTATCCGGACACGTAACCCTTTTAAGATTTCGGGTCAGTTTTTTCGTTGGGTGACCTGATAATGGATTCCCGTTCCTTGAGAGGTCTATGGTGGCCCATGGTTATCATAGAGAAATGTGTAAAAAATCAACCACAAATATTAAACTGTAAACATAAATTTGAATGAAAATAAAAATTCGCTAAAAAATAACAAAAAAGAAATCGAAAATAAAAAATAAATTAAATTAAATGAAATAAAATAATAATTTAAATTAAATTAGATCTAAATTAAAATCGTTTTTGATAAAAACAAAGTAAAATAAATGTAAATCAAAAACTGAAATGAAAAAAAAATTAAATTAAAAATATTTTTTAAAAAAAAGTAAGTTTGAAAACTTAAATGAAAAAAAAAATAAATTTAAAAGTTTTTTTGTTTTTTTTTTAAATCGAAAAGTGAAATGAAAACTAAAATACACATGTTTCTACGTGGCCCATCGTTATCATCGTTATTTTCAATTTCTTTTTTGTAATTTTTTAGCGAATTTTTATTTTCTTTCAAATTTATTTTTACAGGTTTTAATATTTGTGGTGGATTTTTTTACACATTTATTATGATAACCATGGGCCACCATAGAGGTCTATATAGTGAATGACCCATGTGCTCTACTTGATAACGACAGGTAAATTTCACCTACACATTATTTTTATAAAATAAATGTCTGGTTTTATCCAGACACCGCATAATACAAGTTAGGGCACCGGTCTCCATTTCCAGATGAAGACTGACGGGTTTAAGTTTTTTGAAAACGTATCACAAATATTGAGTTAGTTGCTCAGCCCTTAGCTAGAGGATTTTAAGGGATTTTAACATAAAATTAAGCAGTTTTATTCCCCGAAAAATATCGGGATTAGCCCTTTAACTCTCTGCCAAGGTCTCGTGCACCCAATACGGATCATACTCCACGTAGTGTTTCGTTTGATTAGAGCTAATCCCACTAACACTACTGTAATGGAAGCAAATTTCTGTTCCAAATTATGACTGGTCAATAGTCCGAATAACAACCAAT